AAAAGGAAAGAAAAACAAACCAATAAATTGAAAATTATTTTTCTTCTTATTAGCTGTTAAATAGTGTCAAACACAAAAACTATTGAAAGACGCCATTTTTGGATTAATAGATTTTGAAATAAAAAATAAATGAAAAATAAAAAATAAATCTTTTATGGATAGGATGATGATGATGATGATGATGATGATGATGATGATAATAATAATAATAATAATAATCCTTCGACACTCAAGATTTTTTTTTGGTTAAATATTAATATTTTATTAAGCACAAATTTAGAGTATAAGGGTATTCTAACCCGTTACAACTCTAAAGGGAATTAACAATACATGTTAAAGAATCATTAATCTAATTCATATATACAATCAATCTTCCTAGAAGTCTTGTTGTAAACCACTTCCAAGAACGATACTTAATAGAATCAAATATTTCACTAGTATTTAGCACGAAGAAAATATTATTTCGCTAAAGCCAAATTGTCTATACTACTGTAAATCATACCACTACAACTCTCCTCCATTTCTTGTTTCCATATTGGATTCCACACATGCTTAGTAATGTCTCGTATAAATTTTCAGATAAGCATTAACTGATACCAAATAATTCAAACACCATTTACCATAGTTTCATGGAAACATTGCAATGCAAAAAAAAAAAGATGCAATATGTCTTCATCTTCAGTACCACATAACCCACAAGCTTCCAAGGGAATTGTCAATTCACATTTAGTCAAGTTCTTCTGCACCAAAACTACATTAAGCAATTGACACCAAATGAATACCACTACCTTCCTCTGTACACTGAGCTTCCAAATCTTGTGTAAGGCTTGCACTAGACCCAGCTCCACACTGCCTACTACCTGTAGTGAAGAAATAATAAATATAATGATAAGTATACTGCACATTATATTTCTTGTTATCATCATACTTCTACAACATGTTATTCAAGAAATGATGAATGTAGTGATAAGTATACTGCACACTATACTTCTAAAACTATTGTTGTAAATCTTCTTCCCATGAAAATAATTGTCTTCTCCAAGGAATTTTTCACACCCATTGACCCATCTTAAATCGTCTGTTATCCACCATCCGCGCCTCCTTATTAGTTATTGTTGAAAATAGCCTTTTGTATAAATTTGCTAATGCAATATTTCCAGCCCATTTATCCTTTCAAAAACTAAAAGAACGACTATCATCAAGTACTCATGTGACATTAGAATCTATTTGCCTATTGACTTGCTTATAGACCCACACCACATCCTTCCACCAATCTGAAGTACTATAAGCTACCTCCAAAGAAATTAACATATCAACACATGATCTATACCGCGTCCATAACACATCAAAGCACAATGAGTTTGGAGACTTTAATCATCTCCAAACTCATTTAGCCAATAAGTTCCAATTGAACCATTTCACATTTCTCACTCCTAGACCGCTGATAACTCATATTTTGTTCCCACATTTTTAGTCTTATTGCATCCTTTACATGTCTTTTCATTCCCTTATTTCTTCCATTTAATATGTTTTTGCATTTATTATGTTAATTAGGAATTTTCGTAAATACTATACTTTTGTTCATGTTTTCTATTTTGACCTTTAGTTACTAATTTGGCCATAACTTTTTTTGTAGATATCCTTTTTGGCTCATTCTTTTTGCATTGGATTCCTTACTTCCAGGGCTTCAATTTGGACATATGGATCTTGCTATTTGGAGTCCGGAGCTGTTTTCTACGAATTTTATAAGTTTATACTTCTAGTTTGACTTTTGTATAGCTTTTGTTTTGGTTTTTTTTTGCAGTTTTGTTGTATTTATTTTCGGCCCAGCTTTGCCCATTCGGTTTTGCTCTTTTAGGACTACCATTTATAGAGGTCAGGGGCTGAATTGGAAGCACCTTTTAATTCATTTTTTCATTTTTCAGTTTTTGTAATACTTTTCCCGCTTCTAATAGAACCTCTGAATTTTTTTACCCATTCTCTTTTTCTCTTGCAATTTTTCACTTCAAATTTGCATTGCTCTACATTTTATAATTGAAAGGTGATTAGTTTCTGCAATTTCTAGACGATTTCTTCCATGTTTCTTCTCCAATTACGTTGCCAAAGTCCAGATCGCATTTGTTCAAGACGTTTTGATGCTCCGAGTTTGTTTTCTGATCTCACACTTTTGCGCTTGCATAGAAGCATTGTTCGATTGAATTGTGCATTGTTCTTAATCGTATAATAAGCAATTGATTAATTGTTTGTTGTGCGGAAGAGATTTAAACAATTCGGTTTTCATTCTCGGTTTTGGATTTATGTGTTTTGGATCTTGGTTTGAATTCTCAAATTGATCGCATTTGATTACTTGCATTTCCTTGCGTTTAATTCTCTGCATTTAATTCCTTGCGTTTACTTCCCTGTGTTTGATTCTCTGCAATTTAATCTTCTGCATTTAATCATAAAACTTGCCTAAACATAAACGTTTTCTACATAATTGATATTGAAACAATGTGCATTTGCATCCTTGTGAGAGATGACCTAGGTTGCTCCCTAAACTACATGTTTTTGTGAGGAATTTAGTTACTTTTGATACCTTAGCGACATGGTTATCAACCGCCCTTATTTTTTGGCATGCATATTCTTTTCTATTTAACGCAAGCTATTTTTAATGATTCCTTCACACCATTCCAAATAAATTGGCGTTGAATCTTCACCACCTCCTTAATTGTACTCGGTGACATTTTCTAAAAGGATAAATAATATAGTAGAAAACTATTTAAAATAGCATTAAGAAGTGTTACTCTGCTCCCGATAAAGATGTATTTGTGCTTCTAAGATGCTAGTTTTTGATTAAGCACCTTAATAAGCTTTTGCCAATTACTTTTTTTTCTTGGTTTATCCCCAGCATAGATACTTAAATATCAAAAAGGCAAAAATCCTACCTTGCAATTTAGAAATGGAGATGTTGTATCTAGAAAATCACCTGTCACATTCACTCCCACACACAACTCTTATGAAAATTAATTTTAAACCCGGATATAAGCTCAAAGCTTCGTAGAATAACCTTTATCGTTCACAAATTCTGCTAAGTAGCTTTGCCTATAATCAAAGTCATATGCAAAATGTAACAATGAAATTTCTAGTGCATCATGAACTTTGAAAAAAAAAAAACTCTTTAAGACGACACTTCTCATCAATTCTTCTAAACTTTCAACACTCAAGATTTATCCATCTGCGAAAGAAAAAACATAGAATTGCACATTTATTTTTACTTTTAAGTTCTATAAATTTTAATTATGGGATAGAATTGTCTTTATATGTATATTTATTTATTTTATTTTTCACTTGTTTAAATAAGTGATTATTTTTATTTATTCAAACAATTTACTGAATATTAGACAGAAAGTAATAAAAAATTAACACGTTAGAAATACTTGATGACATTTCTCCTTCCCATCAAATTACTCTTGAAAAATAATAAGACCTCTATGTGCTATTGTTTGGCATTATTTATGATTGACAATGGATTTTGTCTCCTATTTGGTCTTTAATATTTAGTAATTATGACTAGGAAATACTTTTACAAACAAAATCCTAATATTGGTCAAGGAATTTATGAAAAATAAATTACAAATATCACCCCTCTTAAAATTATAGATCACTAAACTTTGGTATCCCAAAAAGAATCAATGTGTGGTCTATGTTTTTGCAGCCATCAGCCCTTGAAATGGTCCATGCCCATGAATGCTCGTTACTTAATTATTAGACCCTTTCTAATTCTTTCACTTCGTTTATCAAATGGTAACTGTATCCTTGACCATGACAATTTTCACATTAATGAGGTTGTCTTTTTTTTTCTTCTTTTTGGTGTTATTAAAGGATATTTATATGGCGTATTTAAGAGGATATATGTTGGCTTAATCATTATTATACCTACTTTGCTAGTACAGTGTCTCGCTAAAAGTTTTTAGAACAGTTGTTTGTCAATTCTAAGGAGGTGATTAAGTAAAACAAATTAAGGTATGAGAAATAGGCCGAAAGTTTTAGTCTCAACTTGTCCTTTTAAAATGAGGTAAATATAAGTTTTATAATTATTTTTTAAACTTCGAAGTTTTACCTGCCTTAGATCAACATCCCTCATCAGGATATCATCCCAATTTCATAATAGACATTTAGTGTTGAATATCCAGTGCTAGTTCAATTTTTTTAAAAAAATTAAGTGAGAAAACGTGTTTTGTATTCAGGAAAATGAATATCCTAAAGTTAAATTTTCTTAAATCTGGATTACCACTTGGTTGACAATGATAGCATGTTTAATCTTCACCTATTCATCAAGATTTTCTTTATAACACCATACAAGTTTGATTATAAAGAAATAAATGAATTACCTTTGTCAAAATTATCACCTGGTTGACAATAATATAGCATGTTTTGAGTTAGATTATTTTTGGAGGAAAAAACATCTTTCAAGGAGAAAAAATATTTTTTTCCCTAAAAAGATTTAGTATACTAAATAAAATAATCAAAATAATATTTTTTTTCTACGAATAAAAGACATTTGATCAAAATTAAAAAATTACTCTCACTAAAATCTATTAGGTTATTTTTTAACTGACTTATTTTTTTAATTTTATTCTCAGCAATTAAATATTTTAAATACAAAACCAATATATATATATATATATATTGTAATTTTACTGTAAAAATTAAATTTTTAACAATTCAAGTGTAATATATTATGCAAAAGTTGTTTTTCTCCCAACATGTGCAAAACATAAAATTTCTAAAATTAATATAACAATAATTAGTTATTGATTATTGAAATATTTTTTTTTCCCACAGTTAATCCAAACGAAACATTTCTGCTCCTTAATTATCGCTTCATGTTCTTTGTTCCAAAGTGAAAGTAAAGACCATATACAAGAAATGAAAAGTGACTTATGTCAAAATTTTCGTTTTACTAAATTATTATAATGATGCGACTCATAAATGGCATGGGATGGTTGGTTCCCAGTTCCTACTACATGTAACCATACTGTACATTCCTAAAAGTAAATACGGTTTAAACAATGAAAGAACCTAACTCTTTTGACTGTTTGTACTTTTGCATATACAAAATTACAGATCCCTTCTGCACAATGGGCAAGAACCATGCTTGAAGAGCCACTTATCAATGCAAGGTTGGTGAAACGTGTGATGACAATGAGGCAAACTTCTAACTGTTTCTCCAAGCTGAAAGTCCTGCAAATGCTCAAATTCAGAAGGTCAATTTCACAAATAACTCTTCTTTGCCTCCACAAAACTATAAAGGACTTGATAACACTACTTCCAAGGTATTCATAATAAGCACATGTTAAAACAAGAAAAATTGCCATCATCATAAACAAACCTGGAGGCAAACTGAACATGAAACTCTTTCCCCAGAAGCATCAACATTGTTGTCACTTGTAATTGTGATCTTTGGGATCTTTGCAACTGAATCTCTTGATAAGCCTTTGGCACCCCCAATGTCAAAGATGTTTTGAACCTCATCAAAGCTCATCTCAACAGCACCCATCTAAAAAAGTTAAAAGAGTAATGGCATGAGCATGATGATGCAAGTGCACAACTAAATTTCTCTTTCATCACCATTACTTTAGACCAAAAACAAAATATAATACAAATGCCAGACACTAGTCACGGAATAAAAAATATTAATACCTGACTTTGAACAGCACTCAACATGGCCGGACCAATCCTTTCACGCACTAGTCTCCCACTCAATAAGCTAGCAATAACATCAAGCTGCATTACGAAACTCAAAATGATTAGATTACACAACATGCCAGTGAAAATGAGAATCAAATCTCAGGGAATTGAAATAATTGAGCAATTGAGCAGCTATCTAAAGATCCCATTTGATAAACCAAGTAACTGACCAAGTATAAGAGACACCCAATTCCAGATTCCTCAGATTTCCACAGACCAAGAGAACATTCAAACACTTCAATGGAGAAAACAGCTCCTGATATGGCACCAACAGCAGCACCTCGAATGAACCCACTCTCTGTCTCTTGGCCTATGAAGGCTCCAGTCATAGCCCCCAACAAAGTGCCCACTGCCAACAGAACAAGCAATCAATTAACCTCAATGCTAGCAATTTAAATTAAAACAAAAGAGAACCACAAACTTCATATGATTTTGAAAGTGGACACAACACAACACATGTAAAACATATGCAAATTGCAAACTAGTCCAACACAAACCCACATCGAAGTTTCCATTTTTTTACAAAAACAGAACCAAACAAAACAAAATGTACATTTCTGTTAGTATATTGCAACTGCCAACAATTTCAAAGACAACCTCGTCCACAACACAACACTACCAACAAGATTGGCAAAAACAATTTCTTCGTAGCAGATCGAGAATTTAGCGAAATGAGAAGAAGTTTGTACCTAATGCAAAGCAGAAGGTCAAGATCGCAGAGAAGATGTTCCCAATGATGGCAGAGACGAAGAGGTTACCAACCCTTTTGACCCTCTCAGTGAAATTCCCGAAGGAATCCATCGAAGGGCATTGATTTGCCACAAACTCCATTTGGGTATCTCAGAAATTTCGGTGGTTGTCTGTTCTATATATGTGATAGATTTGGGTTTAAGGGAGAGTTATATATATATATATATATATATATATATGATATATGATAACGGTAATATATTGAAGAGGACGAAGATAACAGCTTTTTTCCTTCCACGAATGCTTAGTGTGTAAGACAAGAGAGAAAATGGAATGAAACTACCATCAACCAATTCGCATTTATAGCTGTTGTCCCTTAATCTTAATGCTACAGTGCTACACACTCTTTTCTAATGAACTTGCTAACACTGTACTAACGAATTTGGGTCTAGAATTTAAAAGTTTTTATTAAATATTATATTAATGAATTTTTAATAATTTTATTTTAAATTCATTAACGTATTCTTTTAATATTTACCATTTTTATTAGTGGTTTTCTTGACAATAAAAAAATAACTAATGATTAAGAAGTTAATATTTTAAAGAGTTGTGATAAACTACTATATTTATTAATATATCAATAATCTTAAACAATGTACATTTAATAAAACATTTTATTTCTTAATTATTGTCTGACTATGGTTAATAGCATTGTATTATTAATATTGGTTTTTATATTGTATTTATAATTATGAGATGACACCTTGAAAATGAATTAAATTATTAACTGACGATGTATTTATTATATTTATAATATAAAAATTATTTAATAATTAAAAAATAAAATATATTTAATATTTCTTATTATCAATGAATGAACAGACAATTAAAAATGTCATACTATTGTTCTACTCACTGGGTGTGACGAATTTTCAATTTAAGGTTGCGACAAAAAATTGTTGGTTTGTTTAAACCATAAAGAAAACCAACACGGAATTCGCTTTCAAAAGGCAGGAGACACTGACAAAAGAAGAGAAAGTGAGGTTTCTTTTGACAAATGAGGATGGCGCGAGGCTCAGGTCAGGTGCATACTCACCACATGCAAATGGTTTTGATCATTTATTTATTTTGAAAAACAAGTGTACGGATCAATGGAAGGGAAATTGCATTCATAAATGTTGATCGGCTAATAAAATATCATTAATAAAAATTGAACTAAAAAGGTTCTCATTAAATATTGTTCAACTTAATGGTACCTGTTTATTTTGTTGCTACCCTCTTTGACTTTTGCATTGCTCAGTTATCATTTCCCTCCTTGTCAACACAGTTAGTTATCACGCTTAGACTTGAGTGTCCTTGAACAATTATTATCAGTAGCTTTAACTTTTCTTTTTTCATTTTGTACTGACATAAAATTTGTAAAGTAAAAAAAATGTGAGTAAGGAGTTTTACAAATTAAAGTAACTAAAAATGTGAGTAAAGGTTCCATAGGAATTTTATTTCCGTGTTATCGGTAGCTATTAAGAATTTATAGAGGCAAGGATAGGAATACATTGGTATAAACAGAAAAAATAATCTATACTGTAAAATAATTACAACTAAGCGATAAGAAATTATTTTCTTCAATTTCTTAACATTGAGTAAGAGTAATAATTGTGTGATAAATATTTTTAGCTGCAAATGCAACAGTGAATATTACGGCAGAGTATTCTTGCATGAAACGCTTAAAAGTTTAAGTTAGTAAAAATGTTAGTTGAGTTTCTATATAAGTAAAATACATGTACTCAAAGACTCTAAAGAACTCTATTTATATAAAAGTGAACTCTTCCACATTTTGAGATTACACTAATCTTAATTGATTGACTTATGTCATTTAGTTGAGGGTTAAGTGTGCTATTTATGTTGACTAATAAGATATGCGATTTCTTTTGAGGTTGTGTTAGACTTATCTAAATGGTCCCAACAGAAATGGTAACATGTTCTAAGGTAACTCTCTAATATCGATAACAATGTTGGTTGTTTGACTGTGATCAGTTATGTTGACTCCAAATTAGTTGTTGATGACTTAGCATTATCGATGTATGATAGAATTGAGGTGATTTCACTAAGTTTGTTAGATTTTGAGAGTGTCACTCTTGCCAACATGTTTTTGACCACGATTATTTGTATTGAGTTTGACTCTTGTAATTGGATGATTATAGTAAAAGTCATAGCCATTGAAGCTTGGGGGATTCAGATAGAAAGTTAAAATGTCTTTCTAATCTCTTTTATTAATTATTGACCTAGAATTATATGTTTATTAACATAATGAACAAGAGATGTATGTACGTATGTATGTTAAAAATTGAACACAGATAATGTAACAAAATATTAAAGATTTTCAATTGCTCTTGTGGCATACATGTTTTAAAGCTAAAAAGAACGCAAGAAATAGGAATAAAAATTACTTTTTACGTTAGTACAAACATGGCAATGACACCTACCACTTTATGCATGAAAATTTACATGAACACTTCCTTATTAGAATCCTCTTTGTTGCTTTGCTAGTACTTTGTGAAAGAGAAAGAGAGATGAAGAGAAAAAATAAAAGTTAAAATATCTCCAAGAAGTGTCTTGGGTATAAACATTTTATTTATAAGCACGCAAGGTAGATAATCCTAATTTTTCTTTACCTATTAATTGAGCTCATTCTTAATAAGTTTGTAAGGATAAGGTATTATTTTAATTCAATTAAAATATTATTTTTTTAATATTTGTTTTATATATGTGATTTTATAGATATTTTTTATATTTAATTATAATATTAAATATAAATATTCAATTTCTTAATACATATACCAACAATACATATATTATTGAGAATCTTGCTAATTAACATGAAACTTAAAACATAAATAAACTAGTTTGATGATTTTTACAAAGAGACCTATGAATTAAAACATAATTTTTTTTATAGAATTACAGCTACAATCTTTTGGTTGATTTTAGTTTTATCAATTGAACGTTGACGAGTGAGAATAATAAGTGTAAAATCAAAAAAACTAAAAAATACTTAAAGAAAACTCAATATTGATAAAGAAATGTATTTGTATTACGATGATTACGATGAAAATCTCATGTTCCATATAGACGACTCATTATTCATCTTAAAAATACAAATTTGCCATATCATTCAAAATAGTCACATTCTTTTATCTCTTAAAATTATTTTCTTAACATTATATTATTAATTTCTTTTATTTATCTTTTATGATTAATATATATATACATACATGCTTTCTAAGTTGATATTACGTATTCTCTATTTTTAATATTTATGATCAATCTCTCTTTTGTTTTATTTATTTATTGTTTTATAAAAAAAATATAATAAGTGAAGTGTTCATCAATTTATCATTTAAATTCTTGTTTAAAGAATGGTCACGATGGTAATAGTGGGGAGGATTGGGAACACAGTATTTTAGCTTTGGCTTGGAATTAATGGCAAGAAAAATGGTAGATTTTCCTTGAAATTTTCATTGAAATCAACAAATAAAATTAAATAAAACAATAATAAATATAAGTAAAAATTTCAAAGCTGAAGAAAAAAATCATGATCGTTTTTTAAGAATAACAAAAAATAACATTGTATTTTTTTTTTTACAACAATTTGACTTTTCTTTTAACCATCCCACCATTTTAGCAGATCTACACCTTCCAAAGTAAACTATTTGATTTATATCTCACTAACACTTTAAAATCTAGTACAAAGAAGGAAGTTAAATATAAGTTTAAATTATTTTTAATTAGTACAAATTAAAATAAAGGGCTTAAAGTTTATATATAACTTTCATTTTTTTTTTCCTTCATAAACTTGAAACAATGTCAGACTTATATTAAAAAAATTTATTTCAATCAGCTCCAACATAAAATTTAAGGTATGGAGAGATACAAATGTGAGGATAACAATAATAGTGAAAGGACTTTAAGAGACAAAAATTTGAAGTTACCATTTAAATGATTTGGCAATTTTTATTGATAGGATAGGTTACAGAACACTAACGTGACACAGGAGATTTTTGTCCGATGCTCATATCTAAATTTACCCCTAATTTAATTTTACATGTTAATGTCGTCACTAAAACGCAATATGGCAGCTAACTAAGAAAATGAGCTTTGCTGAATAAAATGTCAAGTTAGCCAATAGTTTCAACAAATAACAGATAAAGGGCACTCTAAAGAAAGTGTAAGTGAATGAATTAGTGGAAAATCAATTTTAGTAATTTAGTGAGTTATCTAAATCAGTATACACAATTTGAAACACGATAAAGGAGTGAGAGAAGGTTGAGAAATGCCAATAGCCAACGATTCCAAAGTATGGAGCTGGCTAGGAGCATAATACTTTACTTGTGTTTTGGTCGTGTTATTGGCCATTTGAGAAGAATGTGCCCAAGCTAGCAAAAGTTACAACAATACTTCACTTCTTTATCGACAAATGTAAGAGGGGAGGTCGTATTGGAATCAGTTAGCCCTAATCTAGTTTTTCCTAATACTTTAATGATGTAAGACATCCTTAAGTGTAGATGACAAATCTTAACGTAATAAAGATACTTAAATAAGTTTTTAATCATATGTAGGAGCATCAGAAAATATGTAAGCACTGTGTAGTTGCAAAAATCTTCATAAGCTTTAGCATATGATTTGGTTGATATGATTGGTTTCATTTTAGTTCATATGATTCCAATCAGTTTTCTTTTCAGCTAATAATAATCCGTGAGCAGCTTGGCCAGACCACCCCTACCCTCCCCTACCCTCCCAAAATATTGAGCCATGTTTGTTTTGATATAGAAAATTAAATTTTGTATCTTTTAATAAAAATATGCATTTCAATATGAATATATACGTAATTCAAATTAATATACACTTACATGTCAATTGTTCAAAATTAAATTTATTAAAATTTAAACTAACAGGCACTCGATCAATTGTTCCGATAATGTGTTGGGGTTGAAGATCTAATTAACTTTTTCTATCCCAATCATCTAATTTCTCAACTTATTATCATTAATATTGACAAGTTTGTGACAAGAGTCGATGGTGATCATTTTTGTAAGATAATTTATGTCAATTGATATATTTTAGAAGGCCACGAGTAACATTATGCCAATTAAGATTATTAGAACCATTAAAGATAACTGGAATACGTTAAGCAACA